TTTGACGCCTATCAATCATAAAAAGTCATTCGCAGTGAAAATGAGCGTAAATATTTGATGCTAGTTTGTAAATCACGTCATGCTAGACAAAACAGATACTTAAAAACGAGCAGAAAATGTTGGATTGGAAATTAGAAGAGACTAATCGGTCGGAAATACGAGCTTAGAGTGTATATGGTGATCACATCAATGTTATGAATTCAACAATGCTAACATGCTTAGTTGAACATTCCTTTTCTACTTAAGGAAGAGAAACAAAAATCCCATGACCGTCTATTGATGTTTTTTTTTCGCATTATAGAAAGCAAAATTCAGTCAAACTCCAAGCACCAGTTCACAATATTTTTTTTTTGAAAAGAAATGATGCTCATGTTGAATTTTCATTGTCAAGTTAAGACTCAAATGTATTTGTTTTTTTCTCACAACCTTGTACATGACAATTATTCGAAAAAATATCATGTCGTTTGTAACCAGTTGTTTCACACTTAAAGTTGTGCAAACTGGGAGATGATTAATGTTCAAAACTCTGTATATATTGAAGAACTAGTCTTGTACACAACTAAGATCCAGACGTAATTTTCAGGTAAAAGCAATTTACTGAACAAATCTCCACATGTTTAAGCTCAAATGAAGCTCCTCACTCCAACAGGAGGGCACTCGAAGAAATTTTCATTCCTAACCAATCGAATGCTAAAACACTTTCTCTTTCTAAACGACTCCCTTCAAGGCATTGATTTATTTACTTAATGCAAGTTTTTTCAGCTGAACTCAGCTTACTAACGTAGATAATCAGATGTCAAGAGATAACGTATCAATTGATTTATTATTCAAAAAGGGAGATTCTAAGCTTCTATTTAAACGTTACATTCTGACGAACCGAAAATAAGCTTGTGAAGAACTAAGTTTTAGAATCAAAGCGGCACATTAACAATCACACAAATCTGTCATACATTATGTTATCGCTTTTCTTATCTACTTAATCAATGATTAAAAGTAATGCTCTCCTTCAAATACAGAAACAGCTTCGATTGATCGATACCTTATCAAATGTCCAGATGGAGTTAAAACGCTCTCATAATCTATGAAAATAGTACGTGTAAATTGTTAATATTCACCAGAACCACCGAGAAAACATCATAGAAAGACGTCCTTGTTGTGGTTTTAAACCAGGAATACATCCATGATTTTAAAACTGAAGTCACCGAAAGAACCGCTGGAAGATTCCCTTTACCCGTTGGGCAGAATTGTTGGCAAGTTTTAAGGTTTATCTCACAAGTCCTTAAAGCTTTCGGATTCTATTCATCATCTGGCAAAGCTCATAAATTTAATCAAAATCGAAGCGTTCTTGAAGGACAGCATTACGTTTAACGCTTTCCATAACAACAGTTCACAGTTAATCGCACAAATTTTTCAAACGCATGGAGACGACGACAAAAGGAACATATTCCTGCAACTAGGTAACCAGAATAATAAAAATAATAATAAAGTAGCCAGAGAGTCATTAGGACTGGTGCATCACAATGGATTATTTAATTGCTATTTAAGATAGTATTTATGTTCTTTTTATTGTAAACCTGCATGTGATCTGATCACAGCGAGCAGTTATTTTGGGGCGCCCTCGCCTCGGGCTATGCTTTGATTGACGACCTAGCGGTTCGCCAAAGACTGAAAGCTTAGCAATAGAAATGGTCAATCCAGCGTGTAATTACTAAACGAAGTCCAGTTTTAAATAAAGCTTTATGACCTGATGGTTACTGGCTTTGTCTAATGGCTTAATGTCAATCCCAAGAGATTTTTCCAGATTCTGTCAAGCTTGCTGAACGACACTGAACAAACTCTAAGCATTGCGGGAATAATTCTTGCAACTTAAACTATGGTCTTGCTCTTAAATTGCCGCTTCAGACGATTTTCCTTCAGGGCGAAATACCTTGACCTGGTTAACGCATATTAGAGCAGTTCACGAGAACAACAAATGCCCTCATTTCCTTATGTCTAACCAGACCGCGAATTTTGCATAGGAGTTGTCAATGATAAAGGACTTATTGGATAAAACCATTGTGATTATGCATGCGCTCTTTATAACCTGGAAGTTTCTCTTTGACGAAATATCGTGGTTTTCATTTCAAGGCCTCCCTGTCTGCGTCAGCGGGTTGGTTTTAAAGCCAATCTAACTAGACACGAGGATATCACAAGACCAGGCAATATCCGATTTTTCAAAGCAGCTTTATGAACCGCGCTCCGCACTGATTGTGATTCAAAAAGCTTGTTTATTTTTAAAATCTCTTCACCCAAACAAAATCCTCGAGCCCAAAGTTCAAACCTTCAATCAAAACATAACCCTAATGATATAACTATTTGAAAGAAGATGAAGATTTAAGACCACGTTTTTTTATTGGTATTTTTTTAATAAAAATAGCGGCACGTTCAACAGAATATTCACCGGTACTATGTATCGCTGGATTGTCAACGGAATGAACTCTTTGCCGAGAATCTTAATTAAATTTGATTTTAATTTCCTTCAGCTTTGAGGCCGCTACTATAGATACTCCCTTTTTCTTTAAAATATCTGTTAATGAAAAAGGCACGGCGCACAAAAGGTGAACACAATAGTTAGATTTTCCAATTTACTGGAAAATGAAATTGCGTTTTCGCGTTTGTTATAACGAAAGCGCGTTCAATTTTAAAGCAAATGTTATGAATAAAAAAAAACGCAGGCCGGGAAAACTGATTGAAAAGGTCGCTTATCAGTATCACATGCAATTATTTCATGTCTTTCCATAAGATTTGAAGATTTTGAAGCAATTTCAAAAAGAGTTCATTAATACAGCAGCCATCCCGTCGGAAATTGATTCAACAAAAGCCGAAAGCTCATCTGTACAATTGTCAAATTATTAATTGATGGGACACTTTGGGAGCGGAATCGCCAAGGTTACGTTTTCTCTTCACGAAAAATTGCAATCCATTTCTCAGAACTTGCTTTACTTTCCACACGTGTTACGCTTGCTGTAAGCATGCGCAGTTGACATGACGACCGTGTTACCTCGAAACCGTTAACTTTACTTAGCGATTTCAATTCTATTGCCATCACGGGATTACCAAGTCGTGCAATTAATAACCACTAATTACACACATTAGGCTAAATTTAAGCTAATTTCGAGACATCCGCACAAGAGAGAAACCTGATTCCCCACAACAGCCATCCAAATCATCGAATGATGGGAATAGGTGAAGGTTGTAATTCATAGTTTTCATTGAATACGTGGATATTCCTTTATGCTGTGTTTGCCGAATAGTTATTTCGTCCAATATCCTGCCATAGTGTGTTTATAGACCTGTGATTAAAGTAAATCACTTAAACAGCAAACATCACACGCAAGCTTAGCTCAAGTGCTCAATTATTCGTCGTCTCCCTCGATAACCAATATCGTTTTTAAACCGCACTTGAAAACGTTGCGTGTGAGGCAGAAAATATTAAGTTTGTTCAGAATTCAAGGCGCAACTCACCGACCGGCGAAGATTTTGCAATAGATCATTCGTCAAAATATCTACAAAACTTATTCTAAACAAGTACGCGAAGCGATTTAGTTAACATTTATAAACTTCGTTGCTTTAAGTTCTTGAAAAAATCGAGTACAACATAGAAACATCAAGGGAAGAAGGAAAGCGCGGCGTGATTATTTGCTGTCAATCAAAATAAGCACTTCTTTCTTTTCATCTACTGTGTGCTACACAGTCTGCCCTTGCTGCGTTCATTAGTGATTAGCTTTTCTTAAGTAATCACCGCTCTGTCACTGCTAACAAACAACCACCTAATTTCAATACAATATCAGAACATAGAAAATATTGAGTTTCGAGGCGTGATTGGTCGGCTCTTTGTTATCTAGATATCTTTTGCATTATTTCGCCCGCCTAGTCCTGTTAATTCGCTGTTAGCACGAGCGGCCCAAGTATTTTGTAACTGATTGCGGGTCGATAAGTTTAGTTGGTGTCTAAACCTGCTGATAGTGATGACCAAAATGAGTTGTCCCATGAAGAAAGATTCCGCGCCAGGAAAAACTGATATGGCATGCAATGAGAGAGACAGTGAAGTCGATGATCACTAAGTCAATGCAGTTTTACAGCGAAAAGATGGCAAGTGCAATTCACCCACAAGCTCTAAAGAGAGCCACAGCGACCGCGACTCAGATCTTGAAGACTCGAACAGTGAATTTCAAGGTAGGCTGTCTCTAAGCGATGTCATTTTAATTTGCGATGATTGTTTCGTCTTCTGGAGTGGTCGTGTCAAAACAATCTACTTCTATCTACGAAACTAAATAAGAACTCGTTTTGTTCTCGACAGACGAATTCAGCGAAGGGTCATCAAAGAAGAAACACAGAAGGAATCGCACAACCTTCACGACATTTCAACTTCACGAGCTTGAACGAGCGTTCGAGAAATCTCACTACCCCGATGTCTACACACGAGAAGAACTTGCTCTCAAGATTGACCTGCCTGAAGTCCGCGTACAGGTACATATAATTTAAATTTGTGTACTTTCCCTATTATCTGACTGAGTGAATTCATTACCAAATTTAATATCGCTTTAGGTTTGTTAGCTTTCTTGTTAAGCCAATGATAACTCTGTTTGGCTTTAAAAACAGCGCGTGGGTCAATCTTAAGGCGGTTTTCCCGGCGTAGGTGACTTAAAGAGTTTGGGACAGTCCCCGAATCATTTGTCATGGTTATTTTCGGTTACTTTTCAGCTGCCAGGTTTAAATGTGGCGGTATATATAAAAACGAAGTCAAACAAGTCCTTGGCGATCGAAAAGAAAAGATCCTTTATTTGGAATCACGAGGAAGCGGAACTTTGAACACATTGTTTTATGTGTGTTTTGTTTTGCTTTGTGTTTTCTTCTTTACCTAGTTGAAAGTTGATTAAGAAGTACCACACTACACGGAAATTATTACCCAAAGAGTTCAGCAGCCACGCATTAGAACCCGTCCTGTAACAGTAGACAAATCACACCAAAACCTCCAATTAGAAATGATGACCTATCTGGAAAAGACCCACTCGTTATTAAAGAGACATTAACGGAAAACAAACTCGTAATGGGCAGGAAGGTGGTTATAAAACCGATAATACATGTATGTCGAGCCTGGATTAAAGGCACCATCAAGCATTTGAGTCTTTACTAGTAAACTCTAGCGATATGCAAAAACGTAAAGTTAGGGCAGAAAAAACGCGGACCAACTCAGTATTCTTTACAGGAGTAATTCTAATTTCTTATTGGGACTTTGCTCCTCAGCCATTGCAATCCCTGTTTTGTCATACATCTCTGATAAAGGAAAAAAACCATTAGTGAGTGAAACCTATTGCGAGTACTTATTCCTTAATAATACGCTTTTTCAGTTAGTAAAACAATGGCGCTTCCAATAGGACAACAACGAGCGTGTGAAAAACACATTCTCTGGCCGTGGCAAGAAAAATAGTTTACAGAAGGCGTCAAGAACAGAATGCAGGCCTAATTAAACTGTCATATGTGGCTTTGTCCTGTATTCGATGGGCCAGATTTAAAGAACATATTTTTCGACAGCTCGTTTTAAAATACGCGTGGCGCCCGATAGATATTAACTATCATTAAGAGTTGATGGTGTTCCCAACGCTGGAAAAACCATTACAGGGGTACAAATAAATCTTCTTTTTCCCTTCGTGTCCGTTTTTTCGCTACAATTATACGCTATTATATGGTCTAATTGCTTAGCTCAAATTAACATCGCCTGAGTTAATAAAATTTTCGTGGAGTTTGGTTCGATTTCAGCATCGAAGCATCACAAGACCAACTGAGTTCATTTTAATTCAAGTAATTTCACATGAATGTGCGCCTTCCTTTTCAACGCGCGCTTATCGCTGGTCAAGCCTGTTTTAATTTCCTGCAAATTTCTAATTTAAAGTTTATCTTACACTAATTGGAAAGGAACAACAAAACACAACCAAGAGGCAACTCGGATGTATAAAAACAAAGTTTAAAAGCATTTAAAGGCTTCTTTGTATTAAAATGTACCAGAAAACTACACGGAAAGTGCGAGAAACAGTTTTAATTTCGTTAGAAACTTATCTCAGTAGCACTTCAAAGGATACCAGAAATTGTCGCCTTACCCTGTCGTTATTATCCCACATTATAAATAGTTTATGCTTTGTATGTGAATGACCGGTAAATAATTATCACTATCTGCACGTCTTGATTCAAATCAGACATCAGCTGTGTTTTATTTCTTTAATCAAGTAAATTGCGTCAAGAAATAACACCAATATATTTGGAAAAAGAGCGCAATATTTTCATTCGCTGATGAAAAATTCTTAATAATTTTTTCGTAGAAAAGGAATTGCCGATAAATCGTGCTTCCCTTCCTTCAATCAAAATTTGACAAGCAAGGACAGAAAAAAGTTATCCTGAGCGGCAATTACTGGCTCTTTAATTCAGCATAGTGATATTGTGCTTGTAATCGAGCTTCGATTCGAAGGATTTTCTTTCACAAAACTGCAAACGTTCAATATTTTCAAAAAATAGTTTTCATCACAATTTTCTATGAGTACATTGACAATGAGACGTCAAAAAATGGCGGCAACGTCCCGCCAAGTCGATAATCTTCATAGAGTAAACTATGATACGAAATGAAACGTTTCCAAAACCAAAAAAGAGATAATTTTCTGCCACAAAAGACATCGTTTATGATTCTACACAGAAAACATACTTTTTAATTGGAACGGTAAAGTACGAAAGAGCTTAGCATTTGTAGGCTGATCAATCGTTTTAATTAAAAGCAGGTGAATTTTGCCTCCCTGTCTATCTTAAAAGACAGGTCACAGTTTTGCCACGAAATCAAGTCCTACATAGTGAACCTGCTGTAGTTACGTAACTACAGATTAGAGTTTTGTCCTTGAGACTGGCGCACACATTGTAATTCTACCAGAAACACAAGGTTACATCACGTCTAAATTAACTGATCTCAACGTCTTTTGATTTATTTATTGTTCGCCGGATTTTAGAAATTTCGCAAAATATAACTCTCTCTTGTGCTTTATCAGTCAAACTGAATACAATCAAACATGAAGATTTTCGCAATTTTTTTTTACAATTTGCTATATTCATTTAAGGTGTGGTTTCAAAATCGTCGAGCTAAGTGGAGACGACAGGAGAAGATGGAGATGGCTTCCCTTGAAAACCTTCCTTCGCCAACCATAAGCCGCACCAGCTTCAACAGTTTACCATTCCCCGACCCATGGAAAAGTTCCATGACTTTCTCTCCAGCATTTGGCGGAGCTCTATATCCACCGGTCACTCTCCCCACATCTACCAGTATCGGATGCTACGCAGGGTCATATAACCCCACAACTTATCTACCGTTCTCCTCGTATCTACCACCTGGTGTAGGTTGTGTGGCTGCTGGTGGACACCCTGGACCCAGAGACGAGAGAAAGACAAGTATCGCTTCATTGAGAATGAAGGCAAAAGAGCACATGGAAAACCACAGTTTGAAAGAGTGGTCTGAAATCCCGACTGCTACACAATGAAGAACTGAAAAGAATAAGAAATATCCGAGACAGAATTATTGTTTATTTAATGAAATTTCTGACAAAGTTGTGTTTCAGTATTTGCTTGCTTTATTTTCGAATCGCAGACTTAATGAATGTGTCCACACAACTGAAAAATTTTGACGAGAAATTCAATTAAAAAAATTCTCATTATTTAACCTAAAAATCGTTCCGTTCCACAGAAAAGTTATAAATTGTTAGGTTGTCCAATTCAATTTGAAGTCTATTGACAAAACAATAAGATGTCGCCACATGCAAATAAGCAAGACAAACTCAATGTCAAATTATGCTCGGCTAAAATTCTCTAACAGGAATTTGGCACAAGATTGAAATATATATCATATAGATCACAAATCGCATGTTTCATTTGCAATTTAAGGTAAAGCAAATCCGCTTCATTGAAACACATTGACTAGGATTTAGGCAAACTTGAAAGCCTAATTATCCCATATAAATGAACAACAAAAGCTCGAGTGGGCAAAAAACTTCTTCGACGTTCGATATTCTTTATTTCTCGACACTACTTAAAGCAGACATACAATTATATTGTAATATTTAACAGGGTATTTAAGTTCTCGTTTCCGTTTTTAACGTTGTTGTAAATTAGACAAATTCAATCCATGTATATAGCTAACGTGTTTGTCATTAGCTAGAGCTCCGATTAAGAGGCCTCAGATTACATAAAAGGAAGCTTTCTGTTTATTTAGAGGTTTAAAACTATAATAAAGAAGTACAAAGTTGAAGAACGTTGTTTGCTTCATCGTTTTTAACTTAAAAAACTGAATTTTCCATTGTTATTCCTAATCTCTCAACCCAGGAACAGTGTCTCTAGGAGACCCGACAAGCTTTGATTGGAACTTTCCATTGACTATTATTACAAAGGTGATTTAAGCTGCTGAGAAATTAACCTATTGTGAAAAAAAGAATCGCTATTCAATTCTAGCAAATGACAAACGTCTATGCAATGCAACGATAACCCAAATCGTGTTGTATAATATACCTTTTAAAAATAGACGCGAACCAGAACCATAAACGGCAAACCACGACAGGAAAGTAGCAAAAGAACAATATATCTACGAACCACATGCGTCGTGAAGGAATGTTTGTTCACAATCGCCCTTTCGACAATCACTGTCTAGTCAAAAGGGAAGTGGTGTCTGTACAGCCGTCTAATAATAGTCTGATCTAACATGCGTCTGTCCATTGGGAAGAAATTGTGAAACGCACAGTTTGCTAATGTTGCGAATGCAGATCGAGAGTTCTGTCGAAGTTCGAGGGCCGGATGGCCAAAGGTTTTTGTAAGTGTTGGGAGTAAACACTGGTGATCTTATTAAGGCATCCACACTAGGGAAGAACTCATGTCCGCTCCTTGACACGAAAACCCGTGTAGTACTTCCTTTGCCTTGAAGACAAACTCTAATTCAGTTCTAAAATAAGTTTTCTGATCTTGAGAACTGAGGAAGGAAAGTTAACTCAATAAAAGTGTCCGCTTGAACAAAAAGCACTAAATTGTTCCAAGCAGAATTAGTTATTTAAGCTAAATACTCAGACATTTAAATGAAGTTCATTCATTCAGAATGTGTGAAGAGAATGTTGTCCCTGAAAAAGGGAGCAATTCTCTCCTAAATTGAACAGATTTCATGATAGGCGATGTGGAAGGCAAAAATAAATGAGATTGGCTACAATTCGCGTCTAAATTGTTGAGAATTTTTCAATGTCTCTCCCATCATTGTCAATCAGAGTCAGCAAGTTTTGCCAACAGAAGTTGTTTTACTTATCGCAACGGAAAGTAAGAGACATAGGCTTGGATACATGTGTTCTCACAAACTGCGAAGTGTACAACAGAACTAATTGTAAGGGTAATTTAAGTTAATGACTTTTCGCAATTACAACACAACTTACAACACAAACTTTTGTGTTGAGTAAGACGTATTAACAAAGACGGCCTGCCTTTTGCTGGGTATTCACTGAGTGAGATGATAAATTATTTGGAGAACGCTTCGACTTTTAAAGATAAATTGCATAAGTAAACCTCTGACTAGACCGCAAAAATTTCAACAGCACATCGTTTACACCCCTCGTCATCGTTTACATAACTTAGTCACTTTGTACAGAACTAACATTTCAGAACAACAGAAATCGTTATTTGGTAGCAACGCTCAAAATATGTTTGTAGACAGGAAATCAAAAGGAAAACCTTTCGGCTTGTCGCCAGAACAAATCGGTCGAAAGTCATTAATGTATAAACAATAGAGTATTCCATATAAACAAAACCTGCAATGAATCACGTTACAATATTACCATCGAGACTGAAACCTCACACGACTATTTTAAAAACGTCTGAAACCATTAAAAAAAGCCCGTAACACTATCACATGCTGAAATACCTTACATACATGCATACTTTATTTGGTAAAGTAGGTTTGAATAGCGGCAGCCAAAGGGCTGATGTGGACCTACTACAATAAATCACGTATAAGCTAAAAATACAAACACGAAACAGTAAGTATAAAATACGTACAGGAAAATTACAAACAGATAATGTGTGAGCTTAATTGTGAATGCAAGAAAAAAAAAATTTAAAAGATTGGTTGGGAAAACTCGCTTGTAGCATATCAACAACCTCTGGTGGCAAAACTCGCTTGTAAAATTTTTAAAAAAGCGATGATGCGCCGTTACAACTCTTATTTTTGAAATTTTTTACTTGCTCGCCTCCAAATCTGTTTATCCACATGCTAAATACGTTTACTTTTGGGACAATGTATTTAAAAAGCTGTGTAGATTCTCTAAAATCTGTTCAAAACGAACCGTTTCTAGAGATACAGTTTGCACGTTATTGGAATTTCCACTTATTTTGGATTAGTGTAGCCAATTTTGGGGACAAATGTTTGTGTACTGAGCGTTAATTTGAAGGCGATGAGCACTTGTATTACAGTTTACGTGAGTAAATACGCATTACGAGAAACAAAACAAAGTGCTAATTATCATAACGCAAAACGTGCTAAAACTTTTAAAAAATCATTACTACATATTTATGACTAGAATTCTGGATATTTCATTTCTATCAGTTTTCATTTCTTCCTTCCTGTGAAAAGCTACACGTGTGCTACGACTTCCTCTCCACCAAATTTTATCAAATGTTGAGTTTCAAGCGTACTTACTTCAAATTGCATTCCACATTGACAAACTGCGTAATTGACTTGACACGTTTTCTGCCCATTAACCCCTGAACAAATAACCTAAAAGGTGTATTGACCTAGCTTCCATAAAGTATTAGTCTCTTGGAAACAAGTGGCACCTTGCAAGAATTAATGAAAAACAAAAGATTTCGTGCCTCTTTCTGGGCGAATATTCTTTTACGTTCATGAAACAGGATTTACCAATGACCATCTACATGTAAAACTAAAAGTACTAGGCAAAATTTTACCATCGAAATTTCAAAGCGACATAAAACATTTTAAACCGATCATTGTATGTTTTTTTTACAATTATTATAATCCATAATTAAATTTTGTAGTCTGTCCACATGTTAACTCCGACGCAAATCGTGCAAAGCAGAATGTGAGGCGAAGGTTTGACTGTGACTAGCTTGTGGTGTAGGATAGGATGTGAACAAAACAATGTGCTTTGATTATCTCTCTTTGAGACGATGCAAATTAAAAGAGAATCCAGCAGATCCAACAATGTTAAATCTGTAGCCTGATTTTCTCAACTTCTGATGTTTTCTTATTTAGAGTAATTAGACAGTGATACTACAGTCGACTACATGTGTTTTCTTTTCTTTCTTTTGACTAGCCAGAAATGGAGTACAGTTAACAACAAAAATCCAGATATCACTAACAAAACTATCCCTTGCATTCAAGACGTACCGCCCAGTCTCACTTCCCTGTCAAACGAGTCTATCTAAGAGCATTCGTATCAACTTAGCAGTTTTATAGACCCAACTTACAAGGGAAGAAACAAATCCCTTTTCAGATGTCCTTCCCCTGTGGAGACTTTATGGAATTTGCTCCATCAACAGGAGTGTAGAGGGTTGAGGTATTCGTTGCCCGGTCGGATCGTGTGCTGTATTTTTGCTAGACTTAACAGCAACAGCATTGCTATTCCTTTAGGGAAAAATGCTGATTTTTTTTTTTTAAGACACTGATATCTTATTTTTAGTGGATCAGGGCTAACAGCATGTGTTTCAATTGTTTTCAGTTTTACGTTCGTGTATATGTTTTAAGGATAGAACGTAATAACTACATAGTGAAAGGAGTGTAAATAGAGTGCAAAGTTTTGAAACTTGATCCAACAAATTAAACCATTTAATCGCGTAGTGTTTCTGACTAAACAGGACATGAAGCCAATACAATATTTACTAGTTTGGTTTTATCTGCAAAGTGCATCTCACAACATATTGTTATCACAAAGCGTTGTCACACCCAAGTTTAATATTTTGACCGGCCATAATAAGCTCTGGATTGCTAAACAAGTTCAGCAGGTTAATTTGACTAAAACCAAGAGACTTACGAAAACTTACGTAGGGTTGCAGTGTTCTTATTAAGTAGAACTTTTTGGTCAACAAAAATCACACAGGAAGGCAGACTAACGAGGAAAGTGAGATATGACGTAAGTCCAGTACGAAATCGAAAAGGGCTGTCTTCCTCTTAAATATGTAAAGGAAACTGACCCTTATTTTTTATATCGCCACATAATTGTCGTAATAAAAACCTACTGGCAAAAGATAATAGCAATTATCTAATCTGAGTATGCAACTTTCAAAAATATAAATATGGCAAAAACCATCAGCAAAAAGGGTTTGAGCGCCGCTGAGTTCGTACACGCGCAAGAGGAACTTAATGTCGGCGGGCGTGTATACAATACACTTCTTCTTGAGTAGGAGGATAAATAGATGCCAAAATATAGGACTTGTCGGCGAGACAAACTGAAATCGAAAAGTCAAAACTATACAAAAGAAATGTGCCTTTTAACGGAGACAAGTCAACAACAGAGAAAATTAACAAGTATTTTAAACATTCCTGATATCAAAAGGGTAACAGTCGTGGAACTAAGCGTTGTTTTGACGGCCGTTTTTTCGAAAACTACAAGCCCTCTAGAACAAAAAAGATTCATCATGTAAATTAGCCTATTAACCGTCCTACAGCTCCTTTGTTGCTAATCTTATCACAAATATACTGGGTCTTTTCAGCAATATTGGTCTCCTAATTAGTGGTCAAAATAATCAATACGGACTTTTACCTCGGGCAATAAATATTAGCTTGGCACGAACATCCAGGAGGTGTCGTTAATTTGAGTAACAATAAGTGAATTACAGCACTTTGTAGATCATTATTTTTAGAGACCTTTGAAAGATGAGTGGGGCAAACAGGGGCATACATACCAAGGAAATACAGATGCCTGATCGAAACACGTGATCGTCTGTAATGTTTGTTTGCCAACTTGTTAAAAATATTCGGTACTTTAAACAAGCTACAAATCATTACAAACGGCACTGGTAGCGTAGAATTTCATTTTATTTAAATTCCATTCGGTCTTTTTCCTGGTTATAAACTTGTTCTTCAAGAGTAGCTGGCACTTAAATCGACATTAAACTATTGACGCATAAACGTATTAACATCATAGGTCGAAGCAAGCAGCACGCGAACATGATAAAATGGTTAAGTCCTTAGGAATCTTTTTAACAGTTGTAATTAAAAATTCCTCCGTTTTAATCGTGACGAGTGATATTCTGTTCACGACCGAGAGAGACCCAACTCATGATATTCCACCTCGTATGAGAACCACACACGCAATGCCATAACGTCATTCGCATAACTCGAATGCTATACTCGTCAAGTAACCTTCTATGCCACCACCGTGCACCCCAACGACTTGGCAACTGCATACCACAATTATTATCACTGTTAACCACAAGTCTGTAACGGGGTCAGAGTTCTGATTCAAAAAGTCGTGAGTCAGCAAGTTCGTTAGTCATGGCCCTGCATTGACGTGCAGCATCAAGTGCTTGTGGTATATTTTTGTCCCGCACTATATCATTGTTGACTGCTGTATCATGATAATAAATATTCAATGATGATCACACGACACGCATGCCATCGCGTGCGAGCTTTAGTGTGAGATTTAAAAAGACTTCAATTCCGGGGGAGGGCGTTTCTTCCACTTATCAGCCAAAATGTCTCGCGTCAACCTTAATTTACACGAGTTTCTACCTAATTTGGTCAAAAAGTGAGAGGGATTTCAAAACCCAAATTCACAACAGAGAATAGCGATGCTCCATGAAACTAAGAAATGGCCGTATCAAATGGTGTAAGAGTAAAGAGTAAAGTCTTCACAGTCATTTTCGTTTCTCATGTTCAACCAAGCCTTTTCCCTTTTCTGCTGCCATCCTTAGTTAAAGATTTCGGCTGGTATATTGGCGCAAAACAATTAACTAAAACTGAGAGAGTGCAGCGCATTAACGAGGAATTTAAGGCTAGGCAATACGGTTATATTGATAAAGAGCTATTCCTTAATACCTGCTTCTTCAATGGTCATATTCAGGC